TGATGGCTGTGCAGAGCCTGTGGTTGATGCCAGGTTGATGGGAGTGGGATGCAGCATCACCAGAACCACCCAGACTGAGGTGGGCACATCCATACTGGGTGGGCAGGAGGATCTCATGGGGCTTCCCCTCTCCAGCCTGCCCTCTGCCCTGACCCCACCAGCAGGGCTCGTAGCTCGTCTTGCTTCAGCACACACACACATAGCAGGTGGAGGGGGAGGCAGAGCCGCTTGCTTTTGGTTTTCGACCCTCATATCTTCATTTCACATCATGAGTCATGTTACGTTCTGAGCTGAGTAACTGCTGGGGCTATTTTTACTCCGGCTCAGCGAGCTTCCTTCTCACCGCCGCCACCGCCGCTCACTGCGTACCCAGGGGCAGAGGATGGGGATGAGGTGAGTGGAGGGGCTGCGGGCAGGGATGGGGCCAGGGTTGTGAAGGGGGAAGGATGCCCACCTCCTCGCCCTGGGAACAAAAATAGCCGATGCCTCGTCAAAAACAGCAGCTGACCCGCGGTGCGTGGCGCGTTCACACACACGTATATATATTTGTTATACCGGGAGAGGGGAAAAGGGGGAGGGAGAGAAATTCCTTTCGAGTGCTATTCACCAGTCTGGAAAAATAAAGAAGGAAAGCAGAACATTTTTTCCTTTCATCAAAACAGGAAAGAGAGGGGGAATGGGGTGGGGAGCAGCTCCATAGACATAATGGATGGTTGCCAGAGTAAGGAAATTGTTCCCTTCTACCCTAAACTTGGGGGGGGGGGGGAGGGAGGGGGGAAAGAAATATCTGGTGGTGTGAACAGAGAAGGCTGCACTCCCTCCTCCCTGTTATTGCAGGGAAAGCAATGGGAAATCAGTGTCCCCAGTTTTGCCTTCCATCCCTGTATCCTACTTGACCTGCATGCTCCTAGAATCATAGAATCGTTGGAGTTGGGAGAGACCCTAATAGGTCAGCCAGTCCCACTCCTCTGCAATGAACAGGCACAGTTCAATCAGGTTGGCAGTGGATGGTGGTGCTTTGATTCTCCTTCACCCATGGACTGGCATAAGCTCTCTCCCATTTCCCACTGTCAGGGTCAGTGCACTGTCCCAGGGATGTATCATGCTCACCTTTGACAGGTTTCTGCTGGGAAGGGGTGAGCAGACAGACACCGTGAGGGGCAGAAGGAATTCCTCTGCCATGAAGCTCCTGGAGGAAGCCAGGCAGGTCCCACCAAACTCCCTGCCCTGGGGTCAAGTGCTTTACTCATCCTTGGAAAGCACTTTCCCTGCCAGCGCCAAGGGCAAGAAGGCGAATTGTGCAAGCCATGCATGCCCTGAGGCTCTGCTTTTCTCAGGCACCACATATAAACAGCAGGCTGCCTGCCTGTCTCTGCCTCCTTCCTTCGCTCCTCTTCCCCTTTCCTCCTGTCTTCCTCTGATAGACTAAACCCAGCCATCAGGAAGCCATAGCAGCCCCATCCTGATGGCTCTGCTTGGGATAAACCCAACGAGACCGTCCCCCTTGGCGTAAAACCGATGCGCCCTGAGAACCTCCTGATGCAAAGCTGCTCCCCTCCATTAACAGCAGCCACGGGGAGGAGGTGGGGGATGGCTCACCCTGCCCTGGGAGCAGTGCAAACACCTAAACTAGGTGCCTTGAGTGGGCGGGCTGACTACACGCGGGCTGTCAACACCTCCTAATTTCTTTCCATTGATGTTTTGCAAAGTAGGATTCATCACGGAGAGGCTGAAACACCTCAGTTGTTTGGATTGATTCTTGCTTTCCATTGTGAACCCTGTTTTGTTTCCTGCTGTTTCACAATGCTCAAAAAAAAAAAAAGGGGGGGGGGGGGGGAGGAGGGTAAAAAAGAGAGGCAAGCCGGAAGTAAATATGAGGTGGAGGCTAAAAACTATATAATTTT